GTGTGGCGTTAGTCAGGCTCATCAACAGCAGGACAGCTGGAAATCCACTGGAAATCAGGACACTTCGTCCATAAACTCGCCATCTCCACTCAAGCAATGGAAGGAGGGGAGGGATGCCCCTCCGCTCCTCAGACAGGCCAGCCCGGTTCGGTCATACAACAGGAACACGCCGCCACCACTAAAACACAAAGATGCTGGGAGTCCACGCCGCTCCCCTGTCTTTAACAAAGACCTCCACTCAGATCACACCTCTGCCGGACCAATTCTGCATAGTTTAAATCCCACTGACTCCTGTTCGCCCGCGAAGCTGCCCGACAACAGCGAGTCCATCCCGCCCATTTCTACACTGAAGAGACATCTGACCAGCACGTTCGCACTGAGCAGCAAGCCGGCCAACATGAGCAGCGTTTCAGCTGCTCTCTCTAAAGTCCGAGCACTGACCACTGATTTCGATCACTCCGGTCACAAACCTCCTGTCGCTCCCTCTTCCTCTTCTTTTGCGTGTGATTCGACTCCCACGGCTTCTCGTTATTACTCCTTAAACTCCTCAGCGTTACATTCCACCAGGGAGAGCACGATGGGAATATCTTCCATCCTCTCACCCGTCGACTTAAATCCTGTGAATTCTTCATCTGACATTGATTTCCACTCAGCTGCTGGCTGGTCCAAAGAGAAGCCAGCTCCTGCTCACTCTACCTCCGCCAGCTGCAGGAATAAGACTCACAACTCCTTCTGGGCATCACCCGTTGACTTTCATCGATTCAGCAGTGCTGCTGGAGGGCCCCCGGCACGTAGCGGCATGTACTCAGGAGTCAATTCTCACGACACATCACTTCCTGTTTCTGTTAGTGATTCCAGGACTCAGAATGATGTCTCACCCCCTAACTCCCCCTGTTCCAGTAATCTGACTCTAATTGGCTTGACAACAGCTGCCACGCCGTCCACCGTGAACCTGCTTCCTGTTGACTTCCACTCCTCCAGTCCGGCCTCGGGAGGACGGACAGGCGAGGAGACGGTGTCGGTGGTGAACTGCGAGGGAAAGCCACTCTCCGTGGGTCTTGTTGCACCTGCTAACTTGCATTCGTCTTGTTTGATTGACGGACACTTGAACCACACAGCCTTCTCCTCCTCCTCTACTCCCTCTGAACACAGCATTACATTTAACGCCTCGCACAGAAAGTCCGAACTCGGCATGGACCCGAATCTCTTCCGGCCCCCCAACCACATTGATCCTGATTCAAAACATAACTTCCACCCTGACTCTGAGCCTCCACCACCAAAATACGCTCAGAGGGACTTTGAGCCCCACACGGACAATCACATCATCTCGGAGTATAACTCCACTTCTACCACTGACACCCATCCATACGAACGCTCCGCCACGTAGGGCACGATTAAACGAAAGATTTAAATGTTCGGAATAAATGTCAGGGACGAACTGTTGCATTATACTTTTGGCATCATTTTTCATGAACCATTTATAAACTTGTGTTTATTTAGAATTTAACTCGAGTACAAACACATTCCTAGTGACTGATTTTCAAAATAAACTTGTTTTCTGAGGCAGCACCAATAAACTGATTGTTTAGACATGAGCACTGTCATGTACTTTTGTATTACTTTTATTATTTTAATCGTTGAGGCAAGCGGGTGAAACCCCCTCCAAACCTCGCTATCAATTGGTTGGGTTTTTTTTTCCATGTTCAAACTGCTTAAGAAAAAAAAAGTGTAAGGATGAGTCCAGAGTGAAGCGCTCTCAATCACATGTAGTCCACAAAACCGGTAGCTCTAGTCTAAAAGTAAAAGACAAGGTGTAAAACTGAACAAAACTGGCCTTTTCAGGGGATTGATGACTGAATTTGGTAATGACACTCGGACACATGCTTGTGTAAGTGAGTGGATGTTTGTGTGTTTACATGTTCTGTGTGCAAAAAAAAAAAAAAAAAATCTGAATAAAAGTTTGGTTTAAAAATGCTTTCTTTTTTTACTCAAATGTATGAGCAATGTTGGCAGTGGCTTGTAAAACTGATGGAGAAAGTAATGACTCATTAAAGCTTTCTGAATCATCATATATTTGAATGGAATTTGGATTTATGTACTGGGGTACATTGCTTAAAATACGTGGCATTAGCTTATCGTGGTAACCGATCTTTTCTCTTTTCTGTTTTCAAACCGGTTACACTGGTGTGTTCCTGCGTTGTCTGACAACGAAAAGTAAAAGAAACACAGACCTCCAAATCATTAACTTGCCCACTCCAGCTCCTCTCCCACAGGGGATTTGTAGAAAAGGGCGGCTGCATTTATTTTCACATTAAACATAAAGTACGAACTTACATGGAACAAATTTGACTTAAGATTTTAAAAAAACAACAACAAGACGAAATCTGACATGCCTGACAATGAAAGGTAACAAAGACATGCAAGTCATTAACTTGCGCGCTCCAGCTCCTTCAACCAAATGAAAACAGTAGGGAAGACAGTTAGCTCAACCCTTCACAGCTCCCAAGCTAGCAAAAAAAAGTAGTCTTTTGGGGTGTTTGGGTCTGGCCCAGTCTAGTAGCAAAATGTGTGTGTGTGTGTGGGGGGTAAAGTCACAAATAGCCGCCTGTGCATTTGTGTTCACGGATATGAATCATCGAGTTTTGGTTTGTTGGGTTTTTTTTTTCTTTTTATACCAGTCAACAGACTAGTTTCAACAGGAAGTGCACATCTGGTCTAAAGGTGCATCATCATATCATGAAGGCAAAGAAGTGGTAGTCAAAGGAGCTTGCAAAGAAAAGTGTCTGGACTTCTTTAAGTTGCTTGAAGACGTTTCACCTCTCATCCGAGAAGCTTCTTCAGTTCTAAG